CACGCGATGGCTTCCCCTGACAACTCGTGCGAGGTCTCCTGGTCGAGGAGGGTCGCCTCCAACTCCTGGAACTTCACAAGCACGGCAGCGGCCTGAGGGCTCCCGATGGTCTCGACGGTGGCCCACAGCGGCTGGACGTAATGCTCGCACAAGCACGCAAAGACGAAAGCTAGTCTGTCACCCATCGGGCCTACCAGGTCAAGTCCGCTGGTGCGCAGGGGGTCGAACACGTGGTCAACCGCCTCGCTGGCGTCCACGGAGTTCGGGTGCTCCCACGTGCGAAGCAGCTCGACGAACGCGTCGATGGCACCCTTGTGCGTCTCTGGGCTAGCTGCCACGGCCTCAGCGCCGACATCGGCGGAACGGCGGCTCATGATGTTCTCGATGGGGAGCTTCTCCCACTGCAGCCCCTCGGCAGCCAAAGCCTGGATGCGTTTATGGAGCGTCTGGCTGTCCATCGACGCAACCTGCTCACGTGCGCTCAATGACTCGGCCCAGTCGGCAAGGTTCAGGCGGGCTTGGCACTGGGACGCGGCCGACTTCGAGAGGACGTCCTGGGACTGAGCAGCATCCTTCAAACACTCTCGCAGCCTGCGGCGTTTCTGGGCAAGCCTGTCCGTGCCGTTGAGGAGCAGGGACAGGTCGAGGGAGGCGCACCTCTGAGCCGCTTGGTCCTTGGAGCCGTTGTCCTGGGGACCACGATAAAAAACACATGAACTGTTCGGCCCCCGCCATCGTCGGCCCCGCGCCCAAACCAACCCCAGCAACCACGCCTACGCGGCCTAGGCCGAACTGCCTCTGAACCACCCCCCGCCCTCCCTCGGATCCGCCCCTGGAACCTTCCAGAAACCGGCCAAAAGCCCAAACCAAACTCCAGCACACATTGGTTTGACACGCCGGCGGCCTCGGAAGGGGCGCCCAAATTTCGAGTGACAACGCAGCGCAGACACACTTCCCGCCCACTTCCCTAAGCCAGCGGAACCAACAACACGACACGTCCTGTCACATACGTTCGCTGAAAAGGAGAACTTGGTCTCAGCTTCGGAGCTGCAGCCCCAACAACCGCTAAGCCATCGCTTACCTGTGAGACCATGTTCTCGTCGCAGCGCGGCGAGCCACAACGGCAGCTGGAACGGGCATTCGCTTCTTTACCGAAGACGCGTTCCAGCCGCTGTGACGGCCAACCAACGCGCCGACAAGACCACAGGCGCACGTAAAAAGGCTTGCCTCAGCAGCCGCGGCGGCGGGAAGAAGGTCTGGGGGGGGGGGCCAACGAGGGGCCACGAGGCCCGGAAAGCAGCGTCGTCGCGTGCTGTTGTCTCCTCCTCTTCCCCAGTCTCATCCTTCTCCTTCACCTCCGCCTCACCCCATCCCTCCTGAACTACCTCCCCCTCCTCCAGCTCCTCGCCCACGAGGCTGCCGCCGCTGCCGTCCTCTGGCGAGTCCACCGTCGGCCTGCCCCCCGCCACCGTGGAGCGCGCGAGAGGCGCGTGCACAGCGCGCTGCTGGGCGGCAAGGGCGGCCTTCGCAGGGGCGGAGGGGGACGCGGTCTCGTCGCCCTCGTCGCCCGCGAGCTCGAGCAGCTCGACGGCGTCCTCAGACTCCTCTGGGGGCTTCGCCTTGGCGAGCTCAATCTTCTTGAGGATGTCGTCGGTCGTGAGGCCCCCGAGCGCGCTGAGCCGAGCCTTCTTCACCTGGGGCTCCAAACGAAGCGGCTCAGGAGATGCCCTCAGGAACGACCCAGGACCGACCCCAGAGGGCCTTCGACGAAGCCCCAGGAGGCCGCGGCCAGAAGACCCCGACCAAGAATCCCCCCCCAAAGATCGGTTGAGCGCAAGCCCTCTGGTGATATCCTGGGGCCTCTGCGGGTTCAGACGGATCACCCTCCTGCCTCCCCCCTCCCCCCTCCCCCTTCCACTCCCCTCACCCTCCCCCCACTCTCCCCTCCCCCTTCCCTTCCCCTCCCCCCCTGAACTCCGTTCCCTCCCCCCCCCCCCCCCCTCTCCCGCCACCCCGCACCCCCCTCCCGAGCCCCCTCCTGGAGGAGAAGGGGGGGGGAGAAGAGAAGGAGGGGGAAGAGGATCACGGAGGAGGAGGAGGAGGGGGATGGGGGGAGGAGGCCCCTCAGCAGGAGCCCCATCAAGTTTGGTCAAGACTGGGCCCGCCTTGGGGCCGTGGCCGAACCCTCGTGCTACCCCATGCCCCCTCCGACCCCAGGATTGGCGCCACGCAACGGTGCCTCCTCGGTCTCCCGCTCGGACGGCCTGGTCATCATGTCGAAGATCTCCTCCGCCTGGTCGCCGCGGCAGTGGTCCAACAACTGCTGGCGGAACTCCTGCTGCGTCACCTTGTAGGTCATCCAATATCTGTACGCGATGCCAGCGCCGCCCCATTGCCCGTCATCTTTCACGGCGATGCCTTTGAAGGCGGACGTATCTGGATGTCGGATATCCCTGACGGGGATGTTGAGGGACTTCGGCGTCCATCCGAAGCGGCCCTCGAACTCCGACGGCTTCACCGCGCGCATCTGCACCTCGAACGTGACACCCTGCTCGGTATCCTTGGTGATCGTGGACTGGAAGAAGTCGGGCGGGTGCTCATCGTGCTTCACCGTGTCTGCCATGGTGAACGCTTGGTCGAACTCAGCATCTGAGTTGCACAGCTCACATATCTCATCCCATGATCCCTTATGCTCGAAGGAGCTCTGCCAAGTCGCATAGCACCTGCCGCACGAGTTGCCAATCGGAACTTTCTTGAGGGACCCGCCCTTGAAGGTATACTGGTACTGCCCCCAAGGATCTGCATCTGATGGGGTGGCACCGCAGCTCGCGCGGCCGCACGCGGAAGCCTTGGGTGCCGTGGGCTTGCGTGCGGCCTTGGCCTTGGGCTCCTCTGCGGCAGCCCCGCGGCCTCGCTTGCGCGACGGTGGAGGCGCCTTGCTGGCCCCGCCGACGTCAGAGGGCGCACCCGTGCAGGACGGCAGGGCCTTGCGAAGACGCCCACTGGCGGCGTGCCCTGCAGGTGCCATGGCGACCGACAGGCGCAAGGCTCTGGCGCGGGCGGGTGGATGAGTCCACAGCGCTGGTCGCGCTCAAAGGCGGGCCTCGATGGAAAGGGCTACAGAGCGGTGGCAAAGTTTTGAGCGCATGGTTCATGCATACCCCCTCGTCTCACAAAGACTGGAACCTACCCAAAGGCTGTTTGATGTTTGGTACGCTATTTCCCCCTCCCTGTTCTGGCGGTCGACTTGCACGCGAGGAGGAGGAGGAGGAGGAGGGGGGGAGAAGGACGCGATGAGGAGGAGGAAGAGGAGGATGAGGAGGAGGAGGAGGGGAGGGGAGGAGGAGGGAGGAGGACGAGGAGGAGGAAGAGGAGGAGGGGGAGGAGGGGAGGAGGGGGGAGGAAGGGGGGAAATAGCGTCACACGGGCGCCCACTAGTAAGACCCCTGTTTCCTAAACTGGGCTGTTCCTGTTGTGTTGTGCATATATGTTCGGTCTCGTCTACGGCATGCTTCGCAGTTCGCAGCCAGACAATCTCAGACGCGGGAGGGATAAGAGCGGCTTCGGAATTTGAAATCAGAAGTCGGTCCAACAACTTGGAGCACACATCTCAAAACATTATGGGCCGACCCCCCCAAAGGCATCGGAGGAGCTCGTCGCAACAACCTAGACGAAGCGGGCCTAGCAACCTCTGCTTCGCCAACGGGGACTGGCAAAGACATGCAACCTGGCCTCAGCCAACAAAGTTCATTACACCCCCTCCCATTCCTTCCACCCTTCCTCCTCCTCGTCCTCCTACCTCCTCCTCCCCCCCCTCCTCCTCCTCCTCCTCCCCCTCGACCTCCTCCTCCGACCCCCTCCCCCCCCTCCTCCCCTCCTCCCTCTCCTCCTCCTCCTCCTCCTCCTCCTCCTCCCTCCCCCCCTCTCCCCCTCCTCCTCCTCCTCCTCCTCCCCCTCCTCATCCTCCTCCCCTCCTCTGCCTCCTCCTCATCCCTCCCCTCCTCCCCCCCCTCTCTCCTCCTCCCCCCCTCCCCCGCCCCCCCCCCTTTCCCCCCTCCTCCCCCCGTCGTGCCACAGCAGGCGGCACTGCCGACACCTGTGAGCCTCGGCGAGCACACACAGTGCAAGGGCCCCGAACCCTGCCAGGAGATAACTTTGAAGGTCGCCAAGGGATAACGTCGAGGCCGCCCCGCGGAGCCCTGAGAGATAACCCCGAGGAAAACTTTCAGGCCGGCCTGGGGGGGGGGCCCGCCCGAGAGGGGGGATAACTTTTTGTCCCCAGGGGATAACTTTTTGTCCCCAGGGGATAACTTTTTGTGTCCCAGGGATAACTTTTTGTCCCCCAGGGATAACTTTTTGCCCCCCAGCCACCCCCGAAGACAGCCCTGGGAGGGGGGTGGGGCGGCAGCTCCAGGATAACAAGTTATCCCCCGGGGATAGAAAGTTGCCCCCCGAGGCCCCCAGGGGATAACTCTTGGGGGGGGTGCGAAAGTTATCTCCGACCTTATGTCCCCTGGGAGGCTGGGGGGGTGCAACTATCTCCGAAGTTATCCCCCGCGCGCGCTCGACACGTGCCGCGCCCAGCACGCCGCCGAGAGCGCTCGGGCGGGGACACGGGGAAGGGGGGGTGGAGGGCGAGGAGACAGAGGGATGGCGGGCATCAGAAGGCAACGGTCGATCGCAGGATCGGGGGGGGAGAGAACAGAGAATCGGAACCGACAACACGGATGCAACTCGAGAACTAAACTGGATAGAATTACCGAAAAGGGTGAAAACACAGGATACAACGAACTGACGAGTACAGCGTAGAAGACTGACGAACATAGGCTGCGGTGGGGACGCTGAGAGAATGCGTTTGTGCACAGGCTGCACCAGCGAAGTCTCGCTCTTAGCAGCGTCGAGCCCCGACGGCTCGCGTCGGCCCAGCGAAAACCGCTGAGCCCAAGGGCGTCGCGTAGAAGCCCGCGACGCACATCCAGATGACGAGTCGGTCACCACCGTCACCGTGAAACCTGGGGCTCCTGCCCTGGGCCCTCTGGGGACTCGTGCTCCACCAACGCCTTGGCAATGGGGTTGCCGTCGGCGAACTCCTCGAACTTCGATCGGCACCACTGGCGAACGCCATAGTAGTCCCTCGTGCCGACGAGGTCCTTCAGCTCCCTGCTGTGGGTGTCCTGGTCGACAGCCACGCCCTCGACGTGCACCATCTCCAACCACGCAAGCTGGCGACCAAGTGGTTTCTGCCCACTCCGATACGTGCGGTCGCACTTGCACGACTTTCCGTGAACGCCGCAGTGAGCGTCGAGCTTGCTGTGGTTGCGGCTCCACATCAAGTGCCCGCCAGGGACGTCGATCCTGACCCAGTCGCCCGCTGCGCCGACGGGCCCGCCATGGCCATCTGCACGGTATCCAGGTGGGTCACGATGAGGAGGGTCGTCTGGGACGACGTCGGGGGCGTCGCAGTCTCCGCCAGGGCCTTCAGGTTCACGCCCATCGCTGCCATCTGAGCTCGAGCTGCTGGACCCCCAACGAGACGACGAACTGGATGACGAGCTCGACTCCGAAACCCCGCGGTCGCTACAATCTTCAACAGAGCTGCCCTCAGCACCTGCACTTCCGCCGTCGGCTCCGAGGTCGCCATCGTAGTCATCGTCACCGTGCTTCGCACCGCCCTTGTCTGCTTTGCCAGCAGCGCCCTCCCCGTACAGCTCGTCGTCGGCATCGGCAATCGCGAGCCAATCTGACAGTTCGGAATGAAGCCGCTGGCGCTTCTTCCGTTTCCGCAGCGGGTCCCACAACAAATGTAATCGTCGGTCACCGCGATGCACTGCCGACGCGCAGCAAGGTCGGAAAGCACCTGTCATGCCCGAGAAGTGCGCCTCGAAGAAAGCGACCTCCCACTTCATGCTGAGGTCGAGGAGCTTCACCACATCCCACGACAAATAACCCTCGTATTGGTACTGGAGCGGGATAGCGACGTCGACGGCCGCGTGCATGCTCGGCGAATCAGCGCCCCTGGCGATGAAGCTGGCGAGGTCAACATTGCGGCCACCGATGGCGCCCCAGAAGATATCGAATGGCTTCAAGAGGAGATCGCCGACTACCATGCAGTGAACTCGGGAGGCAGCGCCAGGGGCAGCATCTGGAGATCGATCAGGTAGATCACCCACAAAGATGGCGAACACGTTGCAAGTATGTAGGAGCCGCTTCTGCACTGGAAGTTTGAACGATTGCTTAACAACTGTCTCCAACCGTGACTTGATCAGGCTGCGTGACTGCCCGCCCTCACCACACATGCAATCATTGGCGCGGAAGCACACAGTGTCCACAGGCTTCGGGGGCTCTGCCTCAGTGACCTTCTCGACCTTGGGATCCAGGATTGTGCGGTTCAAGTGGGCCCAGCACTTCAGGATGTCCCCCTTCAGGTGAGCGACTGGCCTAGCGGCTCTACCCTTGGTCCGCACCGAGGCCAGTTTTGATGCCAAGGGCCGTGCATCGAAAGCAGCGTGATAGTGCGCGAAGCTGTGTGAAAGAGAAGGCTCTGGCATCACGTTGCCTTGGGCAGCAGACGCCCAAGCGGGGAGTTGATCGGCAAGTCTCGCGAGCTGCTCCCTGCCGTGCCCGACGACATGGTGGTCGCGGCGAGCTGCTGCGTCCTCGCATGCTCGCTGAGACGCGGCAGCCATCTCTCGCCGAGCTGACTGCCTCCAAACCTCAATCCTGCCCCAATCTGCAGAAAGCACGGCAAGCTGATGCGCCTGACCCTCACCTCCGACGCCAACGGGGCCGACGGCGCGCGCCGCCGCCAGGTAACCGAGATGAACCAATGGCCTCTCAGCCCCAGCATCGACGGCAACATTCGCCCTCTCCGCAATCTCATTGAGACGAGTTCTGGCCTCCTCGCTCAAACCAGCGTACTCCTGAGAGAGCTCCTGCACAGTCCTGCGACGTCCCTGCGCCCTGTCCCGAGCGGAGGCCTCGACGAAGAACGCATTCCAGGCGCTGAGCTTGCGTCGAAGCTGCCCCCGACGTTCGCGCCTCTCCTCGGGGTGGGGGGGCGGTGAGAGGGGCAAGCGGCCCAGGGCGCTACGGGGTTCTCCAAAAGGGAACGGGCCTCGGACCGCACGAAACAGCGGGGCGGGCGAGGGGGCTGACATCAAACCGAACCCAGCCCCAAGCTTTTCAAAACCTCCTGGCGCCTCGCAGGCACCCCCCCGTCTGCGCCCGACACCCCGCCCTCACTTCGTAGCCCCACCTTGCCTTCCAGACCCGCTTGAAACCGTCGGCCCCAGGTCCGCGACACCCCGAACACGCCATCAAGACATCCCAGAAACTAAACCTAGACCGACTGCCCCGAAAGGTTCAGAACGGGACGAGGGAGCGTGAAATGGCGAGCCTGGCACAAGCCTGGCCACTTAGCAGCCCCTCGCTTACGAGCCCACCGTCATCCTTCTCCTCCTGAAACCTCCCCGCACTGTCCTCCCGCTGCACCTCCTCCTCCTCCTCCTCCGACTCCCCCCCCCCCCTTGCCCCCGTCGCCCTCACCTGCCCCTCTGCCCCCTTGGCCGCTCTCTTTCGTCGACCCCGTCCTCCCCCAGACCTCCACCTATTCAACCCCATCGTCCTCGGGTGGGTCCTTGGGGTCATCTCCTCGGCGATGCCCAGCATCGCGTACCTGGTCCGCCTGCTGCAAGCCCACCCAGTACGCGTTCCCCTTCGATAACTCAATGGGCCTCGTCTGGACGCTCCGCACGTACGCGTACCTCCGAAACCGCTGGTGGGCGTGTTCCCTGTCCAAGGTGTCGTCCTTGATGAGCGACGCGAGGCACCTGAGTTCAGCCCGCGCGTCCTCGTGGCTCAAGTCGGGGTGGCGCTGGACGAAGCTCCGACTCCATGGGTCCAACCTTTTGCAGCAGATGGCATCCGAGAGAACTTCGGGAATAAGACTGGGATCCGCAAGAGTGGCTAGAAGTTTGTATGGATAGTTCGTGTTGGCGCTCTTGTGCACCGAGATACGGACGTGGCCTCGAACAAAAAGCTGAAACGCACGATGCTGGTGTTCCTCTGTCCTGGCGCGGAACGGCAGCACGTCCCACGTGGCCGCGTCGTCCATCAAACGCCGACTCTGCTCGAGCACGGCCTGCTCAGCGCGGCCCTGGAACGGCTCCAGCGAACGGAAGGTCCGAACAAGAGTGCCATCAGGTCGGCAAGCAGCACCGCCCCCTGGCTGCAATGCAGCTTTGATGGCTGCGACTTCGCCCGAAGCTTGCTTCACGTCCCAATCCTTGCCGCAGATGTACATGTGTTTCGCCATGAGCTCTATGTGCGGCAACAGGCCCACGCTGAGATTGAACATGTCAAAGTAAACACAACTACTTCTGATCCACTTCAGCGTATTTGCTCGGTACATGGCCTGTTCGAGCTTCTTCGCCTGCTGCTCGTCCTTGGCCCTCACCCGTTCTACGTTGAGTTCCTGCCTACTGGGTTCATCATCTGCGACGCCATCGGCCACGTGGGCATCGTCGTCGGCGGCAGGGGCATCCGCGATGGCAGCCAAATCGGGTTCAAGACCACGTAGAAGTGCAGGCAAAGGATCACGGACAGACGGCACATGCTTCTTACCCCCAACCATGTCTGCCCACATCGGGTAAGCCCTGGTGAACACGCCGAAGACCTCCAAGAGAGCGATCCAGTTCGGGGTCTGCTCAGCCTTGACGAAATTTCGGCCAGGAAAGCTCTGGGGGCCAGAATGCACCAACGCGTGCGTGAACTCCCTGATCAGGCGTAGTTTGATATCTGTATCACTTGGGCCACCAGCTGGAACGTATACGTGTAGATGCGTTGTGTCGTCCTGCCAAACCAACCCCATTGATTCGATGACCCATCGGCGCTGAACGTTGCCAGCCATACGTTTTGGTAGCAACACGTCCAAGGCCTTGGCGAGCTTCAAGCGCCCACTGTACGGGACTGGCCGATCTCTACATATCCTCACAGCACGCAGCAACACAACGCGGACACAATGGCGGAAATTCGCCATGAAGTTCCCAAATCTCATACTGAGTGCACAATGCTTTACCTTCTTCTCCAACCCCGACAACTCGACTACCGACTCGCGATATTTCATAATGCGGTGGATCCGATCAACTTGGTGGAGGGTATCCGTCACGCTATCGATGCTCCACGCCCGCTCTGCCCGAGCACATGCCCCATCACCATCGGTACAGCTGACCCTCTGCACGGACTCGAACTCTTCTTCGAAGGACTTCAAGCCAAGGGCCTCATGCAACATAGAAGATGCATTGAAATAACACGTCGACGTCGTACCAGGCAACGACAGATACGGCATGGGGGGCGTCCACGTGACCAGTCGATGGTTGCCGCCAATCTCTACGTGCGCCCCGATGGTAATCTCTATGCAGAGCAGCTTCGAAGGGGCAGCGTCCCTTACAGGTACAGCATCAATCAGAGAAGGGACGTCGTCGCCACGCTCGACCGCATCCACGAGGAATTCGTTCGACAACTCAGGCGAATCTACAACAACTACTTTGAAAGGCGACTCGTCGTACCGATACCGATAGAATAATGAGACGGATCGTCCACCATTTTGCTTGACCTCGCTGAGCAAGCGCTGAAGTGAGAATCGCATCCAAGCAAGCCACAGTATGAAACTAGACGCTGCCAACAACACAGACGTGATGGACAACTTATCTTTGCGAACGTTGAGCCGTTTCGCAGCAATCGTAACCCCGCCATTCAGTATAGAGCGCGGCCTCAAAAGCTCTGGAATCATCGAGCCCTCAACCTCCTGGTCGGCGGCGTACTCTGCGAAGTCTAACATCTCTGTCATTCTCAAGGCCACGTTGCCGACGTGGGCTGTCACCTCTCCGAGGGGCATGCGCTCGACCTGGAACTCCTCTGGGTGGACACCCCTCCGCCGCCGTCGTCGTCCCACTCCCCCCCTGATTAAGCGTTGTCCGCCTTCTCTCCCCATTTCTCTTCCTCACTCCACCTCGAGGCCAATTCCAATCCCCTCCATCTTCAACCAGGTCCTCCCCCTCCGCCTCCACTCCCCCCTCCGCCTCCTGCCACCTCCTCCCTCATCAAGGGGGGAGGGGCAATCCGAACCCCCTTTTCTGCCGACGGGCAGTTGCGGTGGGGGGGGGCGCTGCGCGCGGCTCGTGCCACGGGGGTCTCGGGCGTCGTTTCCTTGGGCCGCGAACCGAATGAGGGGTGCGCCGCAAGGGCCGAGCAATGAACGGGGGGCCTCGCGTGGAGTGCGACAGCGAACCGCTAGGTGGAGCCCCCTTTGAGGCCACGCTCCTCGCGAGAGGTCCGCCGAGAGCGCACAGGGCGGCAGGGGGGCCGCGGGGGGCCGGTGGCAAACGGGGGGCGGCGGAGCGCGAAGTGGGCGAAGCCCTGCCACTAGAAAGGAAGAGGGCAACTGGGAGATCGCCAAACGGGGGCGCTGAAAGGAAGGGGGGACGTCACGCCCCCCCTTCCTTTCAGCGCCGTCTGTCTCCCCCTCCGCCCTCGCTCTGTCCTGCAGCGCCTGCGCCAGGACCTCGCAGCGCGCCCTGGCGGCGCTGCGGTCGGGGTCCGCCGCGGCCGCCGCGACCGCCTCAGCCTGGCGGTCGGGCGTGGCAAGCGCAAACAGCGAGGGATGGATACTAGGACCTAGTATCCATCCCTCGCTGGGCAGAAGGAAAGGCATGGCAGAAACGAGGCTGGTCGGACAAACGAGGAGAGAGTTGAGACGGAACAGGGCCGACACGGCTGGGCGGGCAAAGGTAGGGTGAGCAGGGGGAGTATGGAAAAAGAAAACCAAACGGCAAGGAAAAATAATGGGGGACGAGCTCGACTACCCCCACCCGTCTACACTAGCCCCCCCCCGTGCCCTGCACCTCCTCTCCCCCGTGCGTGCTCCTGTGTCGTTTCCGCTCCCCCCTCCCCCGCCCGCGCCTGGTTCTCCCGATCCTCCCGTCCATCCCCCCCGCCTCTCCCGCTGCCCCCCCCCTCTGAAATTTGCATGCCCTGCGTCGCCTCGCCCTGCCCCGCAGCGGCGCCCTCGGCGGCCGCTGGCGGCGCGGCGAAGGCGAGCCACGGGTCCACCCCCCCGCCATCGCCGCGCGGCTCGCCCTCCTGGGCGGCGGCGAACGCCGCCCACGGGTCGGGGGCACCCCCCTCGCCCCCAACGGGCATGCTTCCACGAAGCGATGCCCTCGGGGGGCAAACGGCGAACGGCGTGGCGACAGGCGGTGGCAACGCATGGAGATAAATTAACGATTTGGGGATAACTCCAGACCTAACACAAATCTCACTCCAAAGATAAATCCAGGATTTAGGGGAAAGATAACTTAAAGCCGAATCCGCCCTCTCAAGGCTTAGGGAGCTTCAAGGAGCCCCAGAGGAGGCCCCAGGTGCACATCGCACTGAACTGGTTACACAGGGCGAGCTGGAAGGGCGCGGACGTGAAAAAACAGCTCCTTCTCGCCAGACCGAGCCTGAGCTCGAGCTCGCCCTCAGGCGAGCGACGCTCGTCAACACATTATGAGTGGAGGCAAAAACCCGACAGGCTTCCACCGAAAGAAACTGAGCCAACATGACCACACTAGGAACGCCCCGCGAGAGACTTTCAAAACGGCTACAGAAGGGACATCGGTAACACACAAACTTTCGGAGGTCCGCGCGAACCTCCGGAAGCATGCGTTTATGTCACGCTCTCTTCCGCGAGACTCCGTTATGCCCATCTCCCCCGCCATCAGAGAACCTCGTGACGTAGCCACCCAGTGCTTTGGATGCTCGTTCTGGGGACCTTCCTGGAGCCACTCGCTCCACTCGTGCGTCGAAGCTGCGTCGAACGCCAGTCGATTTGGGTCGACCCTGAGTCGAACCTGAGTCGAACCTGAGTCGAACCTGAGTCGAACTTGAGTCGAACTTGAGTCGAACTTGAGTCGATCAGATCCGTTAGGTGGGCTCCAGGAAGGTCCCCGAAACGAGCATCGAAAGTGCTCTCGACAGAATCGTGGCGGCCAGCTTCTCACCCTGGACCGTCTTCAGAACGGGCCGACGACGGGGACCGCCCGCGAGAGCTCCGAGAGATGACTCAAAAAACTCGACAGTCGGATGCTCCGCTCTCCGCACCTGGTCTGCCTCCTCCTCCTCCTCCTCCTCCTCCTCCTCCTCCTCCTCCTCCTCCTCCTCCTCCTCCCTCCTCCTCTCCTCCTCCTCCTCCTCCTCCTCCTCCTCCTCCTCCTCCTCCTCCTCCTCCTCCTCCTCCTCCTCCTCCTCCATCGTCCTCCTCCTCCTCCTCCATCGTCCTCCTGCTGACGCGCCTCCAGACTACCAACCGTTTGCGAAAGAATCGCCAACTTGTGGAAGACCAGAGCGCCCCGCCCCCGCGCCCCGCATCTCAACGTTGGCCAATGCATGCGCCAAAAGAGAGCGCAGCGTGTTGCGAAATAAACGTCCCCCTTCTGCGTGTGGGCACGGCCTCCCCATCATCCTCAAAATACGAGGGGGAAGGGATCGAGCTTTGTCGTCTTGTCACCGATACCTGAGAAGGGCGGTCCTTTCGCAGACGACGGAATTGCCACGTTTGCCTGCTAGACCGCACGCTGCCCCTGCGCGTGCACGCTGCAGTCGAGTTCCTCTCGACACGCCGCGGCTCGCAGCTGACGCGGCTCGCGCGGCCCAAGAGCCACCGACGGCCCGGGACCCACGCCTAAGACTTAGAACGGGCATGTCCTTCTACAGGCGGATTTTGGAAGAAAAAGAAAAAGAATCAAACATATCTTCAAAAATACCCGAAATTGTTCAAAAATCGTCCCCTGGCTATTTCTTACTCTTCTTTAATATCCCTCCTATAGAAAAACACGCCCGACTTAACCAAAGACCGGGGAACCGTGAGACTCGGGCTCGGGGGACTCGGATCGGCCTGGCGGGGCCGCCAGGGAAACGACGAGGCCCGGTCTGGAAGTCGACGGAAGCTCCTGCTGCATACATCCCACGAAAACTGGACCGTCAGAGTCCGGGACGGGCCCGTCGAAAAGCATCAGCGAACCCGAGTGCTGGCAAGCTCGAATCGTACGTTTCCCAGGAAAAATCGGAAAGCCACAGCGGGCACCGCCGCACCCCTTTGCACAGGCTCGGGAAATCCTCTCAGACGGGTGCGCGACCTGGACGTCCACGAGGCGCCCTTCCTAGCTGGGCGCCCCACCCCATCCCATCCCCGAACCTGCTCCCATGGCCCCCTCCCCGGGAGCTGTGCCGAACTGGCGCCATCAGGAGCAGGAGGAGGAAGAGGAGGACCAGAGAAAACCCGAGACTGATCAAAGATGTTGGAATGAGCTTTCCCTCCAAGCTGCCTCTTCATAGGCCCGTAAAAACTCATTTCCGCTGGAAGACCTGCCTCGTTGGGAGACAACCACTTGAATACCCTGAAGCGTGCCAAAACACAATGTTCGGGGCTCCAACGCCACGGATCAACCTGACTATTGCGTACTGACGATACTGAATCGTGCCAAAACAAGATTCGTGGGATTCCAACACGACGAACCAAAGTAACTGGTGCACCCTCACAGTCATGAATCATTCCAAAAACACAAGTTCTTGTACGTTGACCATGGGAACCCCTGGAGTTATTGCAATTTGTTTTGACGAAATGCGCGCGGCGCTAAAGCGAGAGCCACATCCTTAAAACCACCCATCCCCAATCCGCGAGAAACTCTTGCAATTGGTTAAACGAATTGTGCACGGCGCGACAACGAAAGCCGCATGTTGAAAACCACCCGCCCTCAATCCGTGAAAATCCTGCAAGCTTGTACAGCGAATGCGCGCGGCGCTAAGGCGAGAGCCACATCTTGAAAACGGCCTGCCCTCAATATGTCAAGCTTTTGCAAATCTTGAACACGAATGCGCGCAACGCTAAGGCGAGAGCCACATTTTGAAACTGGCCCGCTTTAAATCCGCAGAACTCTTGCCAGCTGTCTAAACGAATACGCGCGGCGCTAAAGCGAGAGCCACGAGCGGCCCGCCTTCCATCTGTGACACTGTTGTCATCTGTTTCGCTTCAGGCTCGTAAGTGGTGAAGAAGTCTCAAGCGAAACGCCTGGCCCGCGTTTTCGACCGGCCGCGGGGTGCGACACGGAGGAATTATGCGTAAGGAAGAAGATAGGAGGAGGAGGCGGAGGAGGAGGAGGAGGAGGAGCGCAAAGATAGTAGGGCGGCCCGGATAAGGTTCAGGACCGATATGCTGAACTCGTTTTTCCCCAGACCACCTCCTGCATCCTATCACCGCCGATCCTTGGGCGGCCGCGCTCGCGCGTCGCCTTGCAAAGGAGGCGCGGGACATGGAGGAGGGAGGGAGGAGGAGGAGGAGGAAGAGGAGGAGGAGGAGGAGGAGAAACGATGAATGTACACACGGATTTGTACATAATGAATGTTTATGTCGAAGCGCAGCTGAGGCAGTCCGCACGCGCGCTCAGGCGGTCCTGGCAATGGAAACGCGAATCAACCGCCGACACGAAGGAAAATGCAGGCGGAAGCGGCCGCAAGGCGGGAGGACGAGAGAGGAGGGCGCTCACAAGGCGAGGTCGCCGCGGAGCGGCCGGGGCGGCCAGCCAGTGCTGCACCCCTGGCAGCGGGCGCGGGGCGCCGTCGCGGCCACACCCAGGGGCTGGGGCAGGGACTGAAGTGCACGAAGAAGAAAGAGAAGAAGAAGAAGAAGAAGAAGGAGAAGAAGAAGAAGAAGAAGAAGAAGTACAGCACCAGGTAGGGCAAAATCAAGCCGACGATGTCCTGGTCCAGCGGGGCCAAGAGGTGGCTGTACCCCAGGCGGCAAAATGCAGCAGGGACGGCCAGGGCCCAGCTGGAGGGAGCAGGCAGTGCTGCCTGCTGAAGCCTGCGTTGACGGGTTCGGGTGGACTGATGCCACCGGTGGCCGGCCACTGAGGAAGCGGTGCAGCAGGTGGCGGGGGCGCAGAGGCGCGTCCACACAGCAGTGCCAACGACAGCAGGACCAGGGAGAGCGGCGGTGACCCGAAGCCCGCCAGCGAGGGGCGGCGACGTGGCAAACAATGGGTCCCAGGCAGCCGTCCACCAATGAGCCAGCGGGGAGGCGCTATTGGGCGAACCGCGCGCAGGCCAGAGCAGGCAAAGCGACGGGAGAGGGGCAGCGAACCCCGCACCCAGCCGGCGCACGCATCACAGTTGAGGGCGCGTGGCACCCCGCCCCAGGGGGGCAGAGCTAAGACTCCCCGCTGCAGGGCCGGCGGGGAGGCAAAAGAGGGGCCGGCGCCAGCCGAAGAACAGGCAGAAGGCAGAAGGCCCGGGCGCCACCCGGCCACGAGGCAGCGCACGCAGCTGCGCAAGCGCTCAGGCTGGGGTGGCAGAGGGGCGCCTCCTGGCACACGCACGGGCTGGTTGGCCTGGCGGAGTGGCTGCTGAGAGGCGGCTGGCGCCAGCGCCACCATGGGCACCCAAGCCAAGGTGCAGCTTCCGAACAAGCGACGGCCGCGCCAGTAGGGGCCAACGCCAGCCGGAGGCGTGGCAGCACGCCCAGGCAGCACCCAGACTTGAGGCAGCGGGCGCGGAGGCGCCAGCACACAAAACGGGTTGGCGGCAGGACGCCTCGTTGCACACTCCGCGGGCCGGCTGGCTCAGGGCATGGCTGACGGAAGCCAAACGGAAGGCCCACGCGGATGGCGTGAGCGCAACACCAGGGCCGCCTAAGCTGCGGGCGGGTGCAGTCACCCCGAAAGGCAGCGGGAGACGACTCCATGTCCAGGCACTGATAGACCGCACCTGATCGGTGCACGAACGGGTGTGACAGCCAGGGCGCCGCCTGCGGGGTAGGCGCCGCGAGGGAGGGGGGGTGCACCACCCGGGGTGAATGGCGCGCCCCGAGGGAGGATGGAAGGAAGGCGCACCACCTGGGATGGATGTCGCGCCCGAAAGGAAAACTTCGGAAAATGAATACAATTGAAAATAAGTAGGGGAAGAAGGAGGGAATGCGAAGCTGGAATCGAAACAAATCCACCGCACGGGGGGCCGATGTCACAGGACCCCAAGGGGGCTGCGGAAATGGATGTATCTGGGCCCCAGGGGCCCGAATATATCCACCCCCGTGGAGAAAAATAAACAAACAAACACAAAAAAACGGGGACCATGTCCAAGACTAAACGCGTAAACGTCGTGCCGATTTGGGTGCCCATCCATCTTGGTTAGCGCCAGTTCGTTGATCGCCCTCGCGAGTCGGCGACGGCCAGCAGGGACCATGACCGAAATCGGCATCGACAAGATCCCGCAACAGCTTGGTCATGGTCAGCGTGCTGTTGCCCTCGAATCAGCCCCTCCCGAGCGCTCGGTTTCCCGAGCGATGGACTTTGTTGTTGCGGCAACTTGGGTCCAAGACGCGGCCGAGGCAGCTGAAGGACGCTTCGGGGCCAAATTTAATATAAAAGAAATATTGGCGGTGGACAAACCTCCTTTTAGTGAAAACGGCCTAGGACCGAAACCGACGGACCTGGACCCGCAAAAATAACGGCTGCGACGCCCTCTCGCGAACCGAAAACGTCCGATTCACTCATCGACGTGTCAGGGTAGGAGGTCTATCAAAATCCGAAAAATAGGACAGGCGCGGAGCGGGATAAGGCCGCGGGCGGCGGAGCACGCTCAGACCGTGAAGTTCTGGTGCGTGTTCGCCGGAGCACAGGGCTTACGCCATATAGGCACGGGCGGCAGGCGGGAAGGGTGGGGCGGCCAACGAGGCAGGGTGCAGCAGGCACAGGAGGTGCTGGGAGCGTCGACTCCGGAAGACTGCGCACGCAAGTCGTGCGAAGGACAGGCCACAGGCGCTTGGCCATCCCGATGCGCAACGCGCAACCCGTAGCGCGCCGCCACAGGGCTCAACACGCAGATTGAAAGCGTACATTCGGCGCAATGCGTGCGCCAAAACGCGGGCCAACAGGCTGAGCCTGCACGCAGCGTGCCAAGACGGACGCTTTGAACACGGCACGTGTTCCGTTTTAAAACGAGCGCATCGGGGCAGCCAAGTCCACAGGACATACTAGAGGAAAAACAAATCTCACAGCACAAACATAAACTCTTGGCGGCGCTGACCCCCCTCCCTGGCGCGCGGAGCGCGCCGGGGGGCGGCGCCAGAGCCGCCGCCAAGGGGTGCCCAGCGCGGATCCGAGAAATCCGCGCGGAGCGCCAAAAGTTCCTGTTTACGCTATGTTGCTCCCATCGCACTTGAGGACCACATCCCCGGAAATGACTTCGAGCACGCAGAAGAGCATCGCAACGGTGTCGAACGAGCATCGCCTCCCGGGGCCCGGCACGCGCAGACCCTCCAGCTTCGGTGCTCTCTTGGTGCTCGGAATTCGGTCTGGTGGCCAGGGCTAAAGCAGGTCGGAACAGCATAACGATCACGTCGTCGGTTCGTCTTCGAGGTGAGCGTGCACGCGGGCCGCGGGGAGGGAGGGCAGCAGCAGCCGTCGGCACGCCGGCGCCTGCCGACGAGCCACCTGCGGCGCGGCGGGCACGGGGTGCGGGCGCCCGCGCCCCTCCCCCCGCGCCCCCGCCTGCGCCGGAGGAGGTGCCGCCCTGCCCTGGGCGCCTCCGCCTCTGCTGCGAGGGAGAGACCCAGGGATGGGGGGGGGGAGGAGGGAAGGGCAGGGGGGAGGAGGCAGAGGGGCCCAGGGAGGCACAAAGATAAACAAGCACAAGTTCCACAAGTCCCCGTATTTTTCTGCATCCTCTGGATCGTCGTCTTCCCCTCTGTCTGCCACATGTTCGGATCTGTTCTTGGAAATCGGCGATTCTTGGTGTCTGTGTCTTCGCTCCTGGGGAGTGGAGGGGAGAGGAGAGGAGAGTGGAGGGAGGGAAGGGGCAATCGAGGGGTCGAGGAAGAGAGGAGAGGAGAGGAGAGGAGAGGAGAGGAGAGGAGAGGAGAGGAGAGGAGAGGAGAGGAGAGGAGAGGAGGAGAGGAGAGGAGAGGAGAGGAGAGGAGAGGAGAGGAGGAGAGGGGAAGGAGAAGAAAGAGGAAAGAGGAAAGAGGAAAGAGGAAAGAGGAGGCGGCATCCGCGCGGCCTGGGCATCGGTGCAGTCTGGGCCCCGCGCGGGGAGCAGTCCCCGTCGAAGCGGTAGAAGTCGAACCAGCACGCCGCCTCCTGCCGCCGCGGCCAGCCGAGGGAGGACGAGGATCGGATCGACGATCCGCGAGAGGGCCCGTTGCGCGAGCAGCTGCCGGGGGGGGGAGGTGCCACGCACAGCTCGAGCGCGGCAGGCCCTGGGACGCACGAGGGCATGGAGTGCGTGCCCCATGCTGGGGACGCACGCCCCGCCCGCACATACCACGGCACAAGCTCGTGCAGCCTATCGTGTCCCGAGCGGTGTGGCCCGAGAGCGCCCGCCGCGGAGCTTCTGCTCCGAGGTGTCCGAGCGTGCGCTTCTCTCTTGCGTCGCCGACGCACGCGCGGTCACAGAGTGCAGAAACCGGGATGCGCGGTGAGGATGCCTTCGGGAGGCCATGCTGACGTCTTTCGAGCGGGGCTGGTCCGCGAATATTGCCGAGGACGGTCCGAAGGGGCAAGGATGCAAGGGTGACCTTGGAAAGCTGCTCATCCTTACTACACGTTTTGATCGACTGGTACAGGTATCTCGGGGCGGGCCGAGTCCAAGGCGCCCTCTGCGCAGGCCCATCCTGCCCCCAGGACGCGAATCGAGGGGCAGGGCGAGGACGAGGAGAAGGATCGAGGGTCGAGGCTCGAGGTAAGTCGCGACATCCGAACCCTACAGTCAAAGCGCATAATAAGAATGCACAACTTTCGAAGGTCACCCTTACATCCTTGCCCCTTCGGCCCTCGCTGGCCAGCCACGCTCGAAAAACGTCAACATGGCCGTCCATGGCCCGTGCATCCTTACCGCGTATCCTTATGATGCGTATTGACCAGAGGTAGCGGCCTCCGAACCCTACCCCCACCAACCACCGATGTTCATGCATCGCTGGGAGGCAGGGGTATAAGGTTCGGATTCCGCCACGTTTTCGACGCAGCACAAACCCTAGCCCCTACGCCCGATCGGCGAGGGTCGGCTTCGGACTTCCCCGCCGACGAGAGTCGATGTTCGGGGGTCGAGGTTCCAGGGCTGAAGTTCCTAGACGTCTTTGGCTCTCGTTCGGCTTCTTCTGGGAGCCTCGGGATGCCGAGGCTGTCGGTGGGCTGCGCTGGCGTCGGGGGCTCGGACGGAAGGAACTTCGTGAGGTGGGGCGCCGAGGGGCGCCACCAGCCGAGCAGAGTAGCGAGCATCGTCTAAAAATAGAAGGCTCGAGGAAACCCAGGCTGGGTCAGGTCGAGCCGAAGCCTGTGGCAGCCCCTTGACAGTGAAGCTGACATGGGCTGGAGAGCTGCCCAAGTACTAGCTACGCTAAGCTTCACGCTGCTGACAAAAGACGCTGGCAGTGCCTCACTCACTCACATCGCCGAGGTGCGAAGGCACTGGGCGGCAGAATCACTCGGCGAGCGAAACCCACCCGATCGCGCCGCCTCAGCTGCACGGCTCCTCGACATGCGCGGGTGTCCGTCCGACCAGCGAGGCTCGACGCCCCTGCAGACCGGCTGCCAGTCGGAAGCAGCGCGGCCTAGCGTTGATTGAACCACTCCCAATCCCGAAACCTGGACAACTTGGCTGCCCCACGTAGGCCATGTCTGGGTCGGTCGAGACGATCCTGCCAATCAAGAGCCGTCGAGAACTACCGCTTGGACCAGACACCCTGCTCGTTGCGCACGGCGACGGCGGCCCAGTGACGTCTCCTGAAGTAGCACGCTGGTTCCTCTACAGGGCGGGGCGGTAACCACATGCGGTAACCACATGATAATGGCAAGCATCCTTCGCTGAAAGACGTCCACCTCATCAGCTATGCGACGCTGCGGAGGCCATCGCGAAGATCGGAAGTCCATCTGAGGCAGGACTGCACGGTCCAGGAGACGAAGGCGCTGACGCATGACAAGCCCGCGGGCGGCCTAGCGGCCACTTCGCGGGCAGCGTTTCTTTGCCTGCCCTCGCGGCAGCAATGCAGCCCCTCGGCACTTGCATGCGATATCAATCCCGACCCATCTAGATGAAGGAAAAACTGCGTTTACATAAACCTTCGACGGTCTGGATGTCTTTCTTGGATCTGCCCTGGACCCCCTCCATGGCGCGCGGAGCGCGCCATGGGCGGCGCCAGAGGCGTCGCCAGGGTGGTCCAGCGCAGATTCAAGAAATCTGAGTGGATCGTCGAAATGCTGCGTTTTACACAAGCGCGTTCCACTACTCGCAAAGTAACTACTCGCAAATGGCCTGGATCCGCCTCGGGGGATTTACGATTTGTTACATCGAGGCAAACGCAAGTTTTTCGGACGTTTGCGAGTAGGCACTTTGCGAGTAGTGGAACGCGCTCGGTGAGTTTTCCCTTCTTCGACCTGGTCTCCCTCTGCGGGAGAGCCCACTCGGTCGCCTTACTCGCGGGCGTTCTGCGCCTCTTGTATCGCCCGGGCCGGCGCGCCCCCGTCGCATCGCTCCCCGACGAGGCCCCCGCCGCCCGGTGGGCATCTCGAACGGCTGCTCAGCTTGGCCGCTGCCTCCCACTGTGCCTCGTGGGCCAGTGCAGTCTGCCATCCCTCGGCGACTCCACAGGGTGAGATTTGCACAGGATGTGGTTTGCAACTGGCACCCTGGGGTGCGGGCGAGGACCTCGACGTGGTTCTCCGCCGCGCCCCGAGGAGGCCCGACGAGAGCAACGTGGTGCCCCCCAAGCAACGACCGACGCAGATCGCAGACGACAACACGGCGTAACCATACCCTCTGTAGTCGCCGAATCTCCGACGGGCGCGGCTGGTGTCGCTGGGCGTCCCTCGGGGAACAACAGATGGCATAAGCATAAACTTTCGGAGGTCCGCGCGGATTTCTTGGATCGGCGCTGAAGGCGCCGTCAGGAGGCTCCAGCGCCGATCCGAGAAATCCGTGCGGACCTTCAAAAGTTCATTTGTCGCCGCGACGTTTGGTTCGACGCGCGGCATTACGTCGTTGAGAAGGCGCCGCGGCCACTCGGGCTAACTCCGCCTCGGACGCAGGGTTCGCCGTGGGGTTCGCCGCGGTGCCGACTTCGTCTCCTTGGGCGCGTTTAGAGTAAACGGCGCGGCGACATGTGTACGTCACGCGTTGCCCCCCGACCCCAGCAACTCGTCCCTCCTTGTCTTTCTCTCTTCTCCTCTCCTGTCCCTCTCCTCCGCTGCCGGTGGGTGCTTGTCGCACTCTTGCTCGCTCGGCTCGGCCTGCCCGGGGGCATCCACAGCTCTGGGCTGGACGCGGCGGGGGTCGCCGGGCCTTCCAGCCACCTGCTCCTATTGTCCGCTCTGTGCTGCCCTTCCTGGCTGGACGCGGCGATGTGTCGCCAGGCCTTCCAGCCGCCTGCTCTTCCTGCCCGATCTGCGCTGCCCTTCCTGGCTCTCTCTCTCCCTCCTGTGGAGGGACACGCCCGACCCAAGGGCAGGCGCTCTGGGGGCAGCGGCGCGCGCGTCGGCGAGCGAGCACGAGCGGCCGCGGCCGCTTGGGCCCAGGCTCTCCCGGAGCCGCGGCGCGCCACGGCGCGCGCAGGGGCGCAGGGCGGAGGAACGCGGCGGGGCACCACGGCCCGAGCAGGGGATCGCCTACAGAACTGAGTTACCCCAGCCTCGGCTTCCCCGTCGAACTTGCGACAGACACGTGGGATGTTCGTAGACCTACGGACCACATTCTGCGCATGTGTTCGCAGGTTCGACAAGAGAACGAATTCTGGGCCAAAGCAATTCTGTAGTCGACCCGCTACTCGAACGATGGGACGCACCAGGACATACCTGGCACTAGATCGGGAAATTCTCGGCCCACGGCAGCGTTCTGAGGCGCGCCAGTGTCCTGGTGAATCAGTGTCCCCAGCGGCGAGGCACGTTCTGATCCTGCCCCCCCAAACAAAAAATAATAGTAAACAAATTCTTGTTGTTTTAAATATATGTTGTCGAAAAGAATAATAATAATAATAATAATAATAATAATAATAATAATAATAATAATAATAATAGTAATAATAATAATAATCATAAAAATAATAATAATAATAATAATAGTGATAATAATAATCATAATAATAATAATCATAAAAATAATAATAATATAACAAATAATAATAATAATAATAATAATAATAATATCAATAATAATGCTAATAATAAGAATAATAATAATACTGATAAAACTACTAATAAAAATACGATTAATAACAATAATAATAATGATAATAACAATAATAATAACAATAATAATAATTATAAGAATTGTTCATTATATCTATATATATGTATATATATATATATTAAACAAAAAACGGCTCAGAGACAGGGTGGTTCGGGAGCGGGTAGCCGCGCGTCGGGAGG